GACTTTTCAATTTAAATCTTTCGAATAACGAAGTGGGTACCATATCTTACACAATTATAATAATCTGTCTTTATTTATCTTACATTACTTATTAATCGACTTCAAAAAAGTCTCATTCATCCGACTGTTCGTTTAGTCTATTAGAAAAGTAATCTAAATATCGAGATAATCAAGAAAATCATATTAAAATTTTGTGCTAACCTTCACTTAAAATTATAAATATGCTTAGAATACACGTTTTGAATTTAGTAGCTGTTTTATAAGTATCCTCTATTAAGGGAGTCTGTATAATACATTTTGAATTTTGATATATGCTTATTCTACAAACGTATTATTTTTTAAATAAGATTCACTGGCGACATGTAATCGCCTATTCAGAATACTGATTCGAATGCAAATATCCCTACCAAACCGGTCTCTATCTATTGACTAGTACGATAACGTTCTTAAATACATGTGGTGTTGCTCACACGTTTGAAGGCAAGTTTCTAAAGGTTACTTTAAATATAATGTTTATAAGCTAAATTATGAAAAGGTAAAATAAAAATTATTCATTCCATAAAATTCTATACACAACGGAGCTGAAATTTTTACTACAGCTTGACTATTACTGCTTAGAGCTTTATCAATAGATTTTTGAAATATTTACCATAAATCACATTAATTTTCATATAACTAATACGAGTAGTTTTTATAGTATAACAACAACTAAAAGACTAGTTTTTTTAAATTCATGTTTAAGAAAGAACATTGTTAACACCCGTTGTATTCCATCAATCAAAGGTAACATTAGGGTTGGAATTTATTATCCTTATAAACGCTTTTAATAATAATACGAAATACAATTACTATTGAGTGTGATCACACCCTAATATGAGGGCTCCTCAATGAAAAGAATTAAAGCGATAAACGATGTCATCATGGAACCGTTCTATTGACTCGACTGAGATTTTCTCATCGCCAGAAGCGTCTGTTTGTAGTATAATCGAAGACAGTGAGTTAAATGTCTAATTTCAAATTCTATTACAATCGTTTTTGGAACGAATGATGATTTGAACGATCAAGAAACACGAAAAAACTAAATCCGTTCTTCGAATCGAAGATTGCAGTTCGCAATCAACTCTTTTATTTGCTTTCCGAGATATTTGCGTTTTAAGCTTGCCTTAGACAATTACAGTTAACGTCATATTAATGATATCGTTCATTCAATATCTTTCAAAAAATGCCATGATCGAATCGTTATCACATGTCAAATGGAAAGGGATAGCAATAGATTTTAAAATCAGACAATTAGCCCCCAGCTTTCATGAATAAGGATTAGTGATATCAAGATGTGCCCGTCGCCGTGCTAACGGTCCACTCGCTGTGCGTTTGGCGTGTGTCGACCAGCTGCGAACAGATGAGCGTGGTACACTCGTACGCCGGTGTTGTTGGATGGTTGCTATTGCGAGTGACACTGGCAGGCTGGCACGCAGTCCCCTCGCACAGTCGGCTGGAGCGCGACCCGGCACGCGCACCTATACCCGGCGCGTAATCGACGAAACGAAACATTCGAATGTAACTGTCAACGCGCCGTTGATAGGGCAATCGAAAAGTCTTGCGAATAGTGCCGAGTGTTAACCAAGTGGTTTGGAAGCTTCCATGTTGTTTATTTATAGTGTTTTATTGTGCTCACTGTGATCGGCGTCCGATAAAAATACTTTTTTTATATGACGATTGAGAAAACAAACACGTGAATGGTATGAAATAAACTTAGGATGCAAATTAGAGTAATAAGATTTGAATCTTGTTATCTAATATATAAATTTCAATAATTGTATAACACTGTGTGTTATATGAAAATCTTATTTAAAAAGCATCGATTGAATCACAAGATAAAACTCCAGACGTTAATTCAAAGTTAGCAAATGTTAGCGTAATTATGGAAAGCTTTTCAACTGCAAACCTTTATGACGCAGTTCTTGTTACTAGATCACAAAATAATATATATATCACAATTTATTTGTGAGGAAGACATTGCTCTAATAATATAGGACTTTAGTTAGATAGTACAATAGCAAAATGCAAGTAGATGATGGGGATACGATCAAAATTAGAAGAATTGAGTTCTTAGAAATGTAAATATAATTTAAGTCGCCAAACAAAATGATATAAACATTCATCTCGACAAAACATATATTAAAAAAGTGAAACAAATTCAAAAGTTACATGATTCTTGTGAAACGCGGATTTTGTTAATATTTAAAAAAATAACCAGTTATTAGTTTATATATACGAATAAAACTAGCTGTTATGAATATAAAACAGATATTTTTTATTCCGTTAATTCGTTAAGTAAAAAGATAGTCTGTAAGGCTTTTTTTCAAATTCGAATTCGAAATTTTATTTGTAACTAGTAAAACGGTTAAATTACCATAATTTTTTTTAGAATTAATACTTATATTAAATCCGTGTTATTATTAAGAATAACACTGATTGTGAGTTAATAAAAACCACAAGCATTTTATTTTCTATAATGAGTATTTAAGAAAAAATTGATCATTTTTAAATGGAGCATATTAATCGTATTATTATACGTTTTTAATTATTATTTAATTATTTAGAAACCATTATGGTCAGAAAGTATTATAATAATTTCTATTGAGTTTGAGCTATTAAATTTAAACTAGTTTGTACATGTATTCTGTCCATCGATTTGAGGTTAGCTTATGATAATGGACTTCATTCAGGGAACGCAACGATAATACAGCACCATAAAATATCGATCACCGTTGCTAGGAGCGAGACTAGACCAACAATAAACCTGGTTTATAATCCCCAATAGCGACTCTCGCCGCCATAGTTGACACTTACCAACAAACTGCTTCAAAACTCTAGGGACAATTTCTAGTTGCATAGCAGCATACTTTCTTTAATAAATTGGATTAAAATTGTCGCTTCGATGATATTCACAGATACATGTTTTATTACGATAGACATAAAATTAACTACTTAAAAGAAATATCTACACATTCATAAGTAAAATTTGCAAGTCCACTGTTATTTAAGAATCAAAATAATCACGCCTACATCTGTTAAATGCGAAATTAAGCGACGAATATACCGTTGGTGATTCATCATAACATCCATATATTTTGTATTGTTTGTGAACATGGAAACTGCTTGCTTTAGCATGTTTGTTGTTTCTTTAACGTTATTCTTGGGTACGATTTCTGCTACTAACGAGAACAATATGTGGAGAAAAATATTAAGCCTTATATATTTTATTGCTTCTTCTTGTTCAACATTTCGTACTGTACTGACTGTTGTGGTCAGATTTATTGCGAATCATAGTATATTATAAAGAAAGATTCGAGTTGTTACTCGAATCATTAAATTTAATTATAATTTTAGATTTAGTGACAAATCGATATTCATTAAATTCAAATCGAGGTATTGAAAATGTTGTTAACTTTCATACCTAAAATCACCAGAGGTTTTTCTGTAAATGCATATTCGTCTAATGGTAGATTCGTTCGTTGACCGTGATTTGGTGGAGGTTTTTGTGGTAGTACCATATTGTATTTGAATTGTTGTACGTGCTTATTGCCCGTTAAATTGTAGTAGCTTTTTTAGATACAAAATTGTACACTGTACATTTTATGGAAAAGCGTTTCAAATATAAATTTGAGATAAGTAGCCATGTTAATGTAATACGTTCTGGATTACCTGTCTTATCCCAAAATGTTAGAAAAATCCATAAAAAATTGCTTTTTAAGTTAAATAAAGTTTTTTTATTCGTTCTACTATCACAAACGTACGAAAAAATCTAATTCAGCTCAGTCTTCCTCAAGTGATTAACTCTTTAATTAATTATCATATAGTATAATAATTATCTTATTGTGTAATTTCATTAAAGTAGGAATATAATACCGGAGTATTTAAACGGTCGTGAACTTACTTTTGCCATTATAAAGCGGTCGGAACAATTTCAAAGTACTTGCAAAATAATTACGCTTCCTATTCACGACACCACTCTCAGACATTGACCTTTCATTCAATTTACTATCACGCTTGTTATCTTTAGTGAAAAATGCAATGTCTTTTTATACTGTTTCTGTAAATTATTACGCCTACAAACTTATATCGAGACTTATTTAGACTTATCTTAGTAAGAACTAGAATATCCAGTTTACAGTATATACGAGTATATTGCTGTCTTATATATTCATTATCGGGTAATATATATACTACGGTATTAAAGTATCATTTTTATGTTTGAATTGAGAGTACAAATCATATTTAAATATTAATAGTATTGGTTCTATGGAAGCGGGCAACAGTAATAAAAAGTAGAAGTTATGTGTTAATTTGCCGCCTGGATATATTATTTCAATTAAGACGATGAGATGCCAAGAATTTAAGTGTAATTCGGAGGTAACGGAAGTTCCGTAGCCGTGATACCGTAACATTCTGCGGCCTAACCTGTTCGCAACACAAAATTCTTACTCAAGTGCTCGCAACTGTTGACACCGTATACTTGTGTGTCTCACTTAGTCTTATTAGCTATATTACGTGTATCGAATATAATTATTTATTTTTGTCATAACATTGAATATGTAATCGTAGATTTAGTTTAAATAGAAAATTTAGCAATGAATGTTGACCCACATTGGAGTTGTCGTTGGTTAAATAAATAGTGACATACCATAGCAAAAACTTTTAAAGCACTGTAAAAATACATAACATACATGATAATGCTATTTTTGGCAGTTTTGTATATATAAATTTCTGTAATTGCATATATTCCAATAACATGCAAATAATAAAAAACAAACTCTAGTTTTATACATAGCAGCCTCATTATTTATTTGTACAGTTGTGGACGTCGAGCACAGTGGCATTATTTAAATCTATCATTCTATTAGTGTATTCTAGTTGTGATACATTAAAATGTATGTATGTACCTGATGGTGGGGACACAGTGTTTCTTTGAAATGGTGCAGTGATGGTGTTTCGCGATGCCGGATTGGAGATACAACGTGCTATCGACGAGTGAGGCGTACATAAATGCGGAGGGTTTGTCTGGCGACCCTCTTGCGGCCAGTTATCCTCGTCGTGCTGACCGCACTCGGCCACCTCACACGTGCCCTTACACCACCATTTTCCTCGGTGCTCGCTCAAATCAACCTCCATATAGACTTGCTGCTGTACAAAATGACTCTGTAGATCCTTATGTTGATGCATATTCGGTGGATCGGTCGTCAAATCTTACAGATACTTCGAGTTTTGCTCGTTATGAGGACTGTCGAACACATGCAGAAGAAATTTCTCCAGAAGAAGACTTTATTACCGATAAGGTTGATAACAATGTGACGCTACAAGTTCAGAAAGTGCCATACAGTTCGGGTGTTTTCTTTATTTCTACTAAAAATGATAATTTTCAAAATGAAGTACCAAATAGTAATTTATTTTTGCTCGATGGGTCAGAGTCAGATGCACTATCATCGTGCACATGCGACAGTTTTGAGCGTTGCGAGTTTGACTGTAGAGACTTTGAACCGTTTTCTGACACCTGTTGTTGCGACCCCCTGAGTGATGGTGTGTGCAGTAGAAGTCCCAAAGATGTGGATTCTCCGGATTTTTATAATAAAGTGGTGGAGGAAGATTGTGTGTCGGCGCGGAGTGACATGGACGGCCTGGATCTCGCTTTATTTGAGCCAGCACAAGCTGAATCAAATGAATATGGAACGGATTCCTCTGAACAAAATACCGTGCCCGCTGCAGCGGCTCTATGTGGAATTCTTTACTCAGTACCGGATAATAGTGGCGGTAAGTGCATTTAGACATTATTCATGCAGTTAAGCGCAGGCATCCCGGAATAGATGCTCAGATAACGTTCAATTATAGTGATTAGGAGTACAGTGAACCGCGTGCTGGTACAACTTAGCCCGCACGCCGCCGAACAGATGGGCGTCGTGTGGTCTATGTCATTTGTATCCGATACGAGCAACGGTGGAACAAAATTACAGTCATATCAATCATAAAGTTATTGTCATCACGAACAAAATGTAAGCACTTCATATATGTATTACTATATTGTCATATAGACACGCATCATGAAACACGTTCTAAATTTGCTATGGCTGAATCTAATAGCTCAGGTATCAAAGCAAACGTAATATTGTAACGCCAAACCTCACTGTAGTTAGCTTGAATAAATTTGTAGCGTTGGTCGTACCGTTATAACTGGTAAGTTTGTATTCTAATTACTAAAGAAAGATAAAAGTAGATTGTTATTTTACTTACAGTTAAAGCATACTAGGGTGATATAAAAAATCACTTAGATTAACTAATAAATATTTATATTAATATTACGTTTTGTGTAGCTCTTTAAATTTTAATCATAAAGGTTATGTTCATATTTTTGTTTTGTTTTAAATAGTTATGATAATCAACATCAGAGTTATAGTTATTTGCGGCATTGCTACCACATTTTAATCAAGTCCCTGATATTCATTTCACGTTGTCGCAAGTGTCATGATTTATTTAATTTAATACGTTATATTTAAAAATTAAAAGTTATATTTAAATAGTTGTTTTGTATTTCTGTAAACATTGAAAGTCTTTTACCAAAATATTTAAGGACTAAAGTCGTTCAAGTTATTCATAATCGATCGAATAAGTACACAAACAAAGTATATGGGCTTTAATTATAAGGACAAAACGGTTTATAATTGAAATATGAATCTGGTATTTTGTAAGGAATTTCTTTATTAAATTATAGATATTAGACTTTTACTTAATTACCAAAATTAACGAAATTGCTTTCGGTGATTAAAGATCTTAATTTAGTTCTGTTTAAATAGTGTTATTTTTTTAATATTGCTATGACTTCTTCTTTTTATAGGGAAAAATTTATACAAACATTTTGTAGGTTACGTCTATACTTGACAAAAATAATATGAATACTACTACCGCGTCATTTTCATACAAATTTACTATTATAGCTGACTAACTTTCGTGAATAACACATAAAACCTACCTCTTGAATAACTCTGTATATTGATGAAAACAATTAAAATTCTTGTCTTGTTCAACAGATATTAACGTACAGACAGTGGGAAGCGAATATGTATAGATAAATACAAAAGTGTTGTACTTACATACATAACCTCACCACAATCATGTAGATATACGAGAGATAGGTAAATATTATATATATATATATATTAATGGTTAAATTAATTGATTATTTGATGAAGTAGCATTTTATGCACTAACAAAAAATTGCTTTTGACTGAATTGGTCATTCAAAAGGAGTACCAGATTTTAAGTTCTATAGCACTCTATTTATAAGAGTGTGAAAGTTTGCATTTTTCTATGAAAAGATGGTGCGAGTGCGTATCCACGAGTGCTATTTATAGTACTATATTTTTCTTAGGAATTATAGTGGCGTTACATTGTAAACGGTTTGTGTATTGAGCTTTTGTTAAAAGAAGAATTACGAGTTACTGGCTCGCTTGGCGGGGCGAAAATGTAAACATATATTTTACATTCCCCTTGAGAGTTAAAAGGTCTGAGCCACATAAAATACTTTACGATGTTTTGTCGTTTGTAGTAACTGTGTCTTGAGAACTGATTGACATAATTTACTTTTTCAAATTCTAATGTTTGATTAATGTTTTAAAATAATTGCTTTGGCATAGCAAGATTTGAGGTTCTAAGTAGCAAATAATTTATTGTGAATGTTGCTATTATAATGATGTAATTATTAATCGATCGTTTATCCAATTATCTATCTGTAACTTAATCGGCAATGTTGGAACTCCTGTACAACAGCTGATCTCAGACTGAGTCACATTCCATTATATAAACTTCTTTTTCTTAGCAGAATAATAATATTTTTGTGATGTTTTCATTGGTTTAAATTTAGAAGTTGATGAAATTTTAATATAAAACTATAGTATAGCTTTACTTAGTCATAATATCAATGATGCCATACTCACTATTATTGGGTTCTCAATAATAGGTAATACAAAAATTTATGACACACTAAAGATTTCTATGTCTGCTAGAAAACTTTGGACAATTTATACGCATACTTATGCATTACAGCAATTTTTAGGTTTGTAATTAGTCAAGGGGCCGCCCATAAATTACGTCACACAAAATTCAGGATTTTAATCCCCCCCCCCCCCCCTTCTTTTCACCTATTTCTCTATACAAATTCTACTAAATATTGTCCTAATGTCACACTTCGTCGACCCCCCCCCCCCCCCCTCTTAAAGTGTGACGTAATTTATGGATGACCCCCAAAGGGAAATGAGACTAGTAAAACTGAGTATGCTCTGACTGTGTTTATTGTTCTCTGTTTTCGAATAATATTTAAAAACCTACCTTTACGCAGTCATATTAATGAGTCTTTATGTAGATATACTGGAGGAGTATACTGTCGACTCCAGGTATCATGTATAATATGCCTTATCTCGTTTTTTGTACATAAACCAGTGTCAATAATCTTGTGAGACCTGATCAGGATGCGACTGGAATACGGGGTGCGCAAGCGCATCCTTTAACTGCGTAGTTATGTATGTGATGCAACCTGCTTATACTTTACGATGAGCCTGCTTTTCCTGTGGTCTAGCAGGAAGTTGTTGCGTGTTAAATTAGCACTATGCAGGAGTCGTGTCCTGTATTAGAATATTCAGAAATTTATTATTTCCGTTAAAGTGCTACCCCGCGTAACAGATATGACGCGAACATATAAGACAAAATTGAAATTGTCTTTGCTTAATTAATGATATATGATTAGTGAAGGTAATATTAACTGAAGATACTCTCAAAGCTTAAAAAGAACTTTAAAAACTATATTTATAATTTGTAAAATTATACAATAACAAATTAGGCCTAAGAACCAAGCGTTGCTTGCAGTATTTTATTTTAACAGAGTAGCCAAGCAGTAGACCACAGAATGAAAACAGAAAAAGTAGAAACAGTTACTCATTTGTGCAGCAATTTCACGTAATGATGAGTAATTTGTGTGGGAAACGCAGACAATACAGACACGGAATTGAGTTTACGGTGTTTTAATTTATATCATCACAATATTATGCTGATATAATATTGTAGACTTTAGTTACGTAATGTTATCGTGTACTTGCGCATACTGTAATTGGATCTTATGCTTAACTAAAAATGACCAGAATCTTTTTTATAAATCAGTACGTCTGACTTATCGAGTCCAAAATCACAATAAAAATTTGAGCTTTTTTATGGATATGGATAAATAAAAAAATTTGGTCGTGACACAAATATTTTGGGAAGGTTATATTTGAGTGTATCGTGTTTAAGAAATCATTATTCTATCAAGATTAACTTGATAGAAATAAGATTACCTACTAATCCAATTTGATGTCAATAGCTTTTGATGATAAAATTAACAGTCCACATTCCACTATAAAACTTAAATTTCTCTTCTCTTATTAAACATTTTGTTTAATCATTTGTAATATTATCGTGATGTAAATAAGTAATGTGGGTTCATTCAGTAAACATTCTATGCTTGTCAATGGCTTTTCATTGGATGCCCATTACTTCATAGCTGTGTTGAATTACGAAATGTGATATATGATGAATTTTTCATTTGGATGCAATCATTTGACCTTCGTTGTGCATCAACGTAAAATATTGGATTAAGTAATTATTAACAGTTATATATTTATACACATTTGTTAGTGGCCCGTAGACAAGGTTGCTGTCATTATTTCATTAACCGACAAAATATTTTAATAAAATTATACACATCAATCGAAATCTTAATGGATAATATTCGTCATCAGGGTCCCTATATCTATTGTAATGTAGGTACAGTGAGATAGTGATCTAATGTAGTTTAATATGACTAAGATGAATTCAGTACTGATCAAGGAAGTATTTTTTCCCGTATCTTTCACTTTACTACAATTAGGTGATGATGGAATCTTCGGAATAGGATTCCGGCTGCATCTGTCGTCGTTAGCACCCGCTATTGTGCACTGGGGTCGCATGGTGGGTCGTGGATACTTCTCCTATTAGATTCGATTCTCTCAGGAAAGATCTCCGCGCCTGTTTAGCCGCTTATTTTAGTTTTTTTTATCATAATTATTATGTATTATAATCAGTCGGAGTTAGAGAGCAATAAGGTAAAATAAAGTAGTGAAAGACTGATTTGTATAACCTGGTAACTGTACATTGCTTAAGGGAGGTCTAATTTTCTTAGGTAAGATATTTAGAATATGGCATTGTAAAGTAGGTTTACCGCTAATGTAAACGGGTGGTCGCAGGTAGTTTTGCGGTGTGGTCACCGTTGTCGCCTAGTTCCACTCTACGTGCAAGTGTTGTATTACTCCGTTTCATCTTAAAGTATTTAATAAATAATTTACTGATTTACTGTTTGATCCTTTTTATTAGTCAAACACTTTTGTTCTGTCACGGTCATTATATTAATACTTTTTTATTGTTTTTATTAATACTTTTTTTATTATTTCGTGATTAATTTTTCGAGGACAAAATCATAGGGAGGATTTAACATGATTTGTAATACATATTAAATCTAAGCATGTAATAGACAACATCTTTGAAATATCAGAATGATTGCCAATAACGGGATTGTATACCAGGAGTTGTCGATATTTCGTTTTTAGCAATCGTAAATAAATAATATATCTTTAAAATTTTATTTAAAAATAAATACATATTTCTGTATATTTGAGTGAGGACTTTAAGCTTTTTTTGTGCAGTAAGTCATATTTGAAAAAACTTTTCAAAAATGAGTAAAACGGTACATGATTATCATTACAAAAAAAATATATTCAACCTATATTGTGTAATTTATATAATTGTTTACTACTTTTTTATATATTGCGTTCAGTAAATAAAGTTAAGCATACATAGGGATATATTTTTATTTTATTTATTTATTTTCTCATCACAAAGGTACTAAATAGGTTAGAGAGTTACCTTTGTGAGAGACTGGAGTCTGCGAAGGAACCGATTATGGCCTGAA